CAAAACTTAGTCCTTGGCTTACTTGCTAACTTGTAACAGTTATTTGCTTACTAGCAGTTAGACCTTGCATACCAGCAACAGTTCTACACTAGTGGAAGCATGAATCCTAGCTAGGTGATCTGCATTTGATAACCCCTATAGCCACCAATTTTTTTTTAACCCTTCCTTTTATCTAGTGAACACATTCGTCATAACCCAAGAGAAATAGCCCTGTTTTGGTCTGCTTTTCTGTCATTAAGAGCTAATACTACACTGGGTAATTTTTAAAGAGTAAAAGTTTATTTAGCTTACAGTTTTAGAGGCCCAAATCAAAGGGCTATATTTAGTAAGGGTCTCCATGTTAGTGGAGGTTCTCTGCAGAACCCAGGTAGTGAGGGCATCACACAGCAAGAACATGTTTTCTTATGGCTGCTCTTCTTAGAAAGTGACAAGGAGTGGATCCTGGAGTAATGCTGATGACTGCATCCAGTTCTCATCACCTTGTAAAAGGCCCCACCTTTCAACACCATAATCAGACTAAGTCCTTAAGGTCTCAGCACCCTGAGGGTTTACCATATGTCAGGTCACAAGTTTCTGGGGACACATTCAAACTGTAGCAAACCGAAAGTCCCATAGTTTCTTAATCCAGTCCAACATCTATGCCAAGTTTAGGTATGCCTCTTCGAGCCTGGTAGCTTGTGAACTACAGTTCATAACAGGCAAACTCAAAGTCCCTTAGGTTCTTAATCCAGCCCAACATCTATGCCAGGTTTAGGTGTGCCCCTTTGAGCCTGGCAGCCTATGAACTACAGTTCATAACAGGCACTCCACTCTCCCTCCCAATGCCTGCCCTAGCCCAAATATAATACTGCAGTGGAGCAAGAGCAGGCATGCTTCAGTTGCATTTCATTTAAAAAAAAAAAAAGAAAAATGAGAAACATGCAGCAATAATTGCCCAATGACAGTAGCAAAATCCTATGAAGAAGGTACTGTGCTTTGGAAGTGTTCAGGATCTCTTGATCAGACCTGTGTTATGTTCCGAAGAGAACTCCTTTGTCCTTTATTCTCTATAGCCTTTGGGCTCTATACAGCGGGGCTGCATCGGTGCCCATTGTCATTCATGGCTAAATAATACGAGGGAGTATAACCATTTCCTCTTGTGAAATTTGAGATGATTAAAACTTAAGATTTAAGATTATCCTACTGACCATTTGAAGGATTAAATTCAAGGTTTATTTGCGAATGCAGTTCTCTCGGAAACAGATTTTGTATCTGTGGACCTCTGTTTATTACACATGTTGTGTTGACACCGTTACCAGACTCTGTGTTCAGGTCTTTCAAACCGAAGGATTTTAACACACAGAATTTGCTTTATACAGGATGAAACAGAGAATTCAAACAGATGATAGTGAATAAACACAGAGATGAACAACTGTTGCCTACCCCATGGGTAAAAGGACAGAAAGAAGAAGTGACATTATTGGAGCTGAGTTCTGATGATAAAAGTCTATGAGGAGCTTGAGGAGTCTGAGCCATCCATAATCTTTCATCATTGTGTGCCCCTACATAGTGATCACTCAGATGTTTGTTTATTTTAATATTTACGCAGAGTTGAGCAATAAACTCTTCCACTGGCAATAGTTAGAAATACCCATCAGAAAAAGATAAAATATGGCAGAAATGATGGTACTCAGTATTGGTATGATCCACAGTTTGTGGATTAGTGGTAATTAGTTATTTTAGGAACCTGATTTTAGTAACCTATCATTTAGAGAATGTGAAATTGTCAAAAGTTTTAAGTTAAATATTCTTCTTGTGTGAGACTTTTAGAGTTTGGAACAATACCAATTTTTAAATAAACATAGAAGAGTTAAAAAGAAATAAAGTCCGTAGGTGACTCATGCCAAAATAATTTTATTTAAAGGGGATGAGTGGAATGGAAGAGAAAAACTTTCCAGACCCACTAGGAAAATAGAGCTATAGCTACAGAGTTCTATCTTACCTTGATTCTTCTTTGAAATCCCTTCTAAGTTGAAAATGGCATTCCTTTTTCTACTGGTTTGAGCCAAAAGCTATCAACTTAGTTTTCTTTTTATTTTCAAATTTCCCCAAAAGGGGAATTTTATTGACTACTTTATTCCCTCAAAGAAGAAAAGACCAACTGTAATCAAATGAGGTGAACATTCACCTCAAGATTTTGTCGTCTTCATAATAGAAAGGATGAGGCTTAGAACTGAATCACTTGACCCTTTCTCTTCTTATCTCCTCTCAGTTCAAAATGTTTATATCTCTTTTTTTTTTTGGGGGGGGGAGGTTCTTGCTATAGGGCACGTGCGCTCGCCAGACAGACAGAGACAGACAGCGAGATAGAAAGCAAGAAATCACCCCCCAGGGGGAATGGCCACGCTGCAATCCCTTCTCCTCTCAGGATCATAGGCACGCACGCACATGTGTCCGGTGTGAGTTTAAGCCACCGGGTCTGGGACTCGAACCGCGGTCGACTACTTGAGAGTCCAGTGACATAGCCTTTACACTAACTGCTGGTCCCAAAATGCTTACATCTCTTCATAGCCAGTATTCTCTTCGATCTGCAGTTGGGCTCAACACATTCAAGCCTCAGCACAATCTTCTTTGTAGTTTTTGCCTTTTTCCAGAAAATAGGCTTAGTCTGTCCACCATAGCCACTCTGATTCCTGTCATGAGGCCACTTTCCCTGAGCATATAGAGAATCCTTGCCCTTTTTGTACTGTGTCACTTTATGAGGTTGGTGCCTGCCACACTTTTTATAGAAGGTCTGGCAGATTTTAGGGACATTCACCATGCTTGCGGGCCTGCTCTCAGCACAGAAAGAGCTCAACTTAGTTTTCTTTACTGCCATTTAGAAAAAAATCTGTTAAGTAAGTATTCTGCTGGATATTTTAGCACTCCAAACACATTAATTCTACAGTGTGATCATAATTTTTCAAACATCACAAGTGCCATTTAGTCTGTTCTTGGATGTCCTTTATATGCTTGGTTTTGTAGATACGCTGGACTTGACATAGCTATGGTTTTTAGGGATAGGCTTGAAATAAGTCTCAAAATAGTAGATATATTTAGTAATGTCCTAGTTGAGACCAGTTTAAGAAACTTTTGTGTCTATATTGTCTTTCTAGAGAGACAGGGTCTTAGGCGAAGAATTCTTGAAGAATGTTTCCACTTAAACATGGAAATGAAGTTTTTATGTGGGACAGGGCATGACAAACTTAAATGCAAATTTAAATGCCATGTATTTATTTCTTTTTTTGAGCGATTTTTTTGCTACAGGGCGCATGCACTTGCCCAAAAGACAGAGAGAGACAGAGAGATAGAAAGCGAGAAATCACCCCCTAGGAGGATGGCCATGCAGCCATCCATTCTCCTCCATTCTCCTCTCGGGATCTTGGGCATGCACACACATGCACCCAGCGTGAGTTTAAGCCATGAGTCCAGGATTCAAACCATGGTCAACTACATGGAAGTCCAGTGACATAGCCATTACACCAACTGCTGGTCCCACCATGTATGTTTTAAAAATATTTCAGCATAAGGCCAGCAGGTAACATCATGGTTAGGGTGCTAGATTCCCACATGGCTGACTGGAGTTTGAGTCCCAGCTCTAGCAACTTGAAAATCATACCAGGTGCATGTATGTATGTGCCCCAAATCCTGAGAGGAGAATGGAGAAGGGATTTTGGTGTGGTCAGCCCCTCTGGGGGCTGTTTTCTCACTTTCCCTCCCTGTCTCGGGTGAGCACACACACCCTATGGCAAAAATCTTAAAAATAAATAAATTTAAAAAATTTTAAAAGCATACCTGAAAATTTTTATAGTTCTTCCATTCACATCTAAAACTTCAGATTTATTTAGTTTTTACATTGACTTAAAATAAGAATGGCTTTAGATAATGCACTACATTTCATATCTTTGTTATCCTTCAGGTACTCCCTTTTTTTTTAGTTTTCCAGAGGATGAGAGCACTTACTGGAGAGAGGCAGATGGAGGGAGAAGAGGAAGCACCCTACGCGGGCATGATTATATGTCAGTCCTTTCCCCTCCATCTCTTCCTTCTTTCAGGATATTAGGCATGCATGCCCTCGTACCCAGTGTTTCTCAAAATGTCAAGTCCAAGACTTGAACCGTAAGTTTGGCAATGTAGAATCCAAGTGCCTTAACCATCATGTCACAGTTGGCCCTATATTGTTTCTGTTTTAAAATACCCATTAAGGCATAGATAGATGTGTGTTTAAAAGGTGTTGTAATTGACTGAAAAGAGGAAACTAATACATTGTTTGATCTGTATAGCAGCTAATATCCAAAGAATTGACTTTTCTTTGCCAGGGTTGACTTTGTGAAGTGAAATGTTGTGAAATAATCACTGGGTAATTTGACAGTTTTATTAAAAATAATTACTTTGTTTCAGTCATTATAATATCTTTATGTAGTTTTGAAAACATGCAGCCAGGAAGAAAATCCTTCTTTCATACTGATCTAGAGCAGAAATGTGCTATGATCAGTCTTTCTATCTCTAATTGAGTTGATTTCCTTTAATACCATTTTACAGTGAAAATACCAAAACACAAGGCATATTTGTACTGCTTCAAATAATTGGTTTTGCTTTTTAAGCATGTTATCTGTAATTTCAAAGACTATTTCTTTCTGAACTTTTTCGCCCTGTGGAGTTTAGAGTGTTCTTGAAAATCTAGGTGTCCATTTAGTATTTTTCAACTGTCAATTCAACTGTAGCGTGTTGTGCTATTAATTCATTACGAAGTGACACAGGAAGAAAACTCATTATGTGATAATATGAAAACATACATTTGTCAAAAAATAAATGAGTCTGTATTGAAAACCCATCTGGTGTGGTAGGAAGGAGTAAAATGGTTTATTAAATATATTTGGGCATTGACACCTTTCCAAACAGGAAAACATACAGAAAAGATTTCAATTCCAATCCATAGGCACTGCATCACACACTTAGATGTTTTCTTTTTTGCTTTGCAGGTTATATTATACCCAACTTCTAATAGCCCGAAGTCAGCTGAATTACACCGAATGATAGTCCCCAAAAATAGCCAGGACTCTGACTTAAAAATCAAACTGGCAGTGCGAATGGATAAACCACCACATATGAAGCATTGTGGGTGAGTGTCCTTGCAGATGTTTTTGCCCTAAATTATTGAATTTTGTTTCATTAGATCACTTTTGTTAGTTTAGTGAAAGAACCAGTGTATCAGAAGCTTCATAGACAAAGTTTTCTTTAAAAACTTACATACTACATAAGTTGTTCTAATACTTAATTGTTTGAACCTGTAGGCACTTTTATAGCTAGGTACATATGTATTTAGTTAATATGATGTTTGGCTGCATACTGACATGATTTTGGTACTTGATTGTATTGATATTATACATCTGATTGGTAAAGAACATTAATGCAGGGAGATACTAAGAAATATTCTTCAAAATATAGTAATAGTAAACAAAAAAATGCCTAGTTTAGGTTCTATGTATTTATTTAATTTAATTTGGAGGAATACTTTTTTTTTTTTTAAGGTTTTTGTTATAGGGTACTTGTGCTCACTGGAAAGAGGAGACAGAGAGAGGGAAAACGAGAAATAAGCTCCCCAGGGAGGATGAGCACACCACAATCCATTCTTCTCCATTCTACTCTTGGGATTTTGGGCATGCACACACATGCCTGCCTGATTTTCAAGCCACCAGGTCTGGTACTAGAACTGTAAACGGCCATGTGGAAGTCCAGCGCCTTAATTACCTCTCCACCTGCTGGCCCTCTTCTGAACACTTGAGTACAATAAAAGGAGTTTTTAAAATCTCAGGTCTTTCTCAGATTGATGTTTTAGGACATTACAGCCTAAATCCCATCATAGGGGTAGTATCCATTAAAGAGCATGGCCATTTTTCTTACACTGGAGAGAAGTAGTTGCCAAAGTGGCTTACTGTGAGTTTAAGCAACAAACAGAGCAGTCTAAGTGCATTTTCAGAAGGGGAGGGATCTGCTGGTTTTGGAGTCAAATCACTGGTGTTGGGGCAGAGTTAGCTGATAATTCAAGAGATAAGGAGAAGTCTTTGGACAACCATTAGAGGAAATAAATAAAGCTCTAGGCAAGGGGTAATCCAAACATGTGTATTACTGTTGGGATGAGATTTAGGACTGTCTTGCTTCTTTGGTGTGGGTGCATAGTGTGTGCAGTGCCAGAACAGGCCTCACTGAAGGGAAAAATGCCTCATGGAATAGCTTCTTAGAAAGAGAACAGTAAATTAGATAGCCCACTTCATGTCATCTTAAATGTATTAATGCAGCATGAAGTGTAACTATGAACTCATAATGTAGATGGAGTTCCTGGGATTTAATATTTAGGTTCTTTCATTCACCCCTCGGCCTGCTCACCCTTAGCTTATGCAGCAGGCACATGTATTGAGCACTTCTTCTTTTTCTACTAGAACAACTTTACAGGCCCATGGGAACTGGCTAATCAGGGATTCAGACTTTTATACAAGCAATTATTAAAGCAATAAGTGCTATATGAAATTAACGGGCTTCTGGTAGAAATAGTACCGAGTTTTGGCTAGAAATTGTCCACTGAAGTCTCAGAAGACTTTTGACCTTCGAGATGAAATTTGAAGGCTGAATTTAGCAGGTAGACAACGGGGAAGAACGCCTTCCTAAATATGACATAATATATTGTAAGTCAGGAGTACTGAAAGGGCTTTCACAATAGCCAACTCAGTACAGCTAGCAGGGAGTGCTTTGAGACTAGGGGCTAGAGCACTAGCACTCTGAAGTCTTAGAGACTCCTAGAGTCTATGGTTGAACTTAAAAGAACACAGCATGTTCCAGGAACTGCTTTCTCTACTAACTTTTTGCTCAATCTCTCTCTCTCTCTCTCTCTCTCTCTCTCTCTTTGGATGAGTGGGACATGAAGCTGGGCATAGGGCAAATTCTGCAGCCTTCAACTCCTGTAGAAAGAAGTCCCTACTCTACCCTGGCAGTTTTTTGGTTTAGAATATTCCCTGGAAGGTGGTACACAAAAACCCACTTACAAAGCCTGATTACTAGTGGAAGGAGAACAATACCCCTTCTTTGCACTGAAGAAGAATTTGTCTTTACCACATCTTTTTGACTAAGTTATGACCCCAAAAATTGACTCTGCAGTTGATATCTGCCCTAGACTACAAGAAAAGGGAAATACTGGAAACAACCTACCACAATCTGTCAGTTTAATCCATAAAGCTCAAAAACTCACCAAAAGATTCAGACTACGAATTCTTCACATCCCTGTCACATCAGTTATTTACTCTCTTACATAGTAAGAGACACCAACAGGGGCCAGCAGGTGGCATAGTGGATAAAGCACTGGGCCAGGGCTGGATGGCTAACCACGGTTCAAGTCCCAGACCCAGAGGCTTCCTTTCTCACTTTCGTCTCTCTCTCTGTCTCACTCTGGTCAAATTAAAAAATAATAATGATAAATCAAGGTAAATAATTCCTTTTTAAAAGAGAGAGTAATACTAACAGACATTTCCAGATATCCAGGTATATTTGCAGTTTATGGTATATAGGGCGAAGGAATCTATTTGTGATGCATTTCTGCTAAGTTTTTAATCTAATGTCACAGTATTTAAGAATATAACAGTCTGTAATTGTGGTCTAATAAAAACTATTTTAATACAAGTATTAGAGGTTTTAATCTACCAGAATTAAAAGGTTTCAACTTTGCCGGAAAAGCAGTTGATCCCCAGTTAGAGAAGCTTCACCACAAGCATCTGTTCTGGTTTCTCAGTGCCTCTGTGGTAATAATTTTAAATATTTTGAATATCACCCTTGTGTATAGATATGTATGGAAAAACATGATTTCACCCACAGCATAAAATATATTTGTCTTTTCTTCTGAGGTGCTTCATAAATAAATGTTACTGCATTTAATTACATTTAAGAAAAGAAAGAACATCAACTAACCTTTTCCTTCCAAGTACTCTACTGTACACCAAAGCAATAATAGAACAAGAATAGTAGATTAATAGCATTTTGCTTTGAGGTCAGATTGTGTTCTGTCAATAATTTATCCTGTCATGAATAATTAACTGGTGAATAATTAATAATTGAAAAGAGACAAGCTAAGTTTTAAATAAAAAGATTAATTTCACTTTAAAATACAGTAAGGTTCTCTTGCAGGTAGAATTGTTAAAAGGTGGAGGGGCCAGCAGGTGGTGTGGTGGTTAGGGGAGCTAGACTCCCACCTGCCGACCACAGTTCAAGTCCCAGTCCTTGTGACTTGCTTTCTCGCTTTCTCTCTGTGTATCTTGCTCTGGTCATTTGAAAATAACTATAATGATAAATAAAATAAAGGAAATATTTTTAATTGAAACAAATAAAGATAGGTGTAGATTTTTATTTTCAAAAGTACTTCAGTCTTTAGCACTTCAGTAGTATAAACTTACCCCTAATTTAATTATGTGGCCAAGAAATATATATCTGTTAGATGAACTATTTTAACACATATTCCCTGCTTTATTAGTTTATTCTTTGTTTATGGCCCTTGTATTGCCCTAAATAAATATTTTTTAATTGGGCCAACACCACAGCACAGCAGTGAAGTGCTGTGCCCAGGAAGCCAAATCCCACATGGTCCACCAGAGTTCAAATCCTAGTCCTGGCAACTTGAAAGGCACACTGGGTGGACAGGAGCATGGGCATGTATGTGGGTAACTAGGATCCTGATGAGTTGGGGAATTGGAGGAAACAGAATTGCAGATCCTACTAGGAGATGAGGGCACTTTCTGTCTTCTCTTTCTCTGTCTGTCTCTCTCATTCGCATATGTCCTGTGGCATAAAAAAAATATGTATTTTTAAATCAATGTTACCTGTATTAGTGTAAGTGTTCCCACTGCACTCTTTGTTACTTAGATTTGTTTGTATCCCTAAGCCTCCCACAGTTTATAATTGAGGACAACTATTGATGGAAATAATGATGATGGAAATAATAGTGTACTTGCTCCATAGAATTTTAAGGAAAACGTGAAAAAGTGAGAGTGAGCTGCATTCTTAAGTTGAAACTTAAAGGCCGTAAACACAATTTATAGAGAACAGAGTGTAATTTTCATGTCAAAAAAAAAAGCAAAAGAAATAAGTGGTTCTCAACTGTTGCATTTTAAAGTGACCTTTCTTTTAAATCAAAAAATAAAATATATTGAATCTAAAACTCATGTTTCTGGTAACTAATCAGTCCATGACTATACATTATCTTTTTTTAAATACATTTTTTTATACATAGAAATGAAAATAGATATTAAATTTAGTTAAAATAAACATATTGATGATTCCATCTTTTTAAAACCAAACTGGGCATTACCACAAGATATGTGTTTAACAAAACTATTGGGTTCATTTATTCTTTTGGAATATGTCATATAAACTAATTATAGAAACTCTTAGATGAATCTGCTAATTGAATTACCAGCTCGATTTTGAGTGATTAAATGATTCATATGCAGCTTTTCAATTTGTGTCCCTGCTTTTTTGTGTAGCTGGAAGATAAAAATGTTCTTGAATACATGGACTATACTTTAGCATAGCCTAGTGGCTAAGTAATAGTATTAACTTAAATCTCCAAAATACTATCCCTGTTTTTATTAAATAAAATTGTTTTCTGAAGTCAAAGGTTATTTTTTCCACCAAAGCAAAGGCAAAATTAAATAGAACAAAACAAATGAGAATGATGACAATTAAATCTGTCACTGAAAAAGAAAAAAAGAAGACAGTTATATGGACTGTCACAACTATGTGGATGCATTATATCCATGATCAGAAGTCTGCATGCACCTGATTGTTTGAATAAAACTTGAATAAAATTTTCCCAAGTATGTAACAGGAAAAGCGTTTTATTCCATTAAGAATTAATTAAGATAAAGCCAGCAGGTGACATGGTGGTTAAGGCACTGGACTCCCACATAGCTGACTGCAGTTAGAGTTCTGGACCTGGTGGCTTGCTTTCTCACTTTTCCTCTCTCTGTCTCTCTCTGGTGAAATAATAATGATAATGAATAAATAAAATTAAATAAATAATTATAAAAAACAGAATAGATAAGCTAAAATTTAACCAAAATTATTGCCATATAACCTTAT